CTTTCCGACATGGATGGGTTGATTTCTATTTCTGGACTTTAGGGTTTATGATAAGAGTCTGGATAACAGTAAAACCCTCGATACCCCATTGCATTTCGGCAGTCAACCCGTATGAAAACGCGATGTGAAGACATTCTGATAGCTATTTGACCTTTCATTTTAAAGGAAAAGTTGGATGAATATGATTCATAAAATTGCCTCACCGTAAACCAAGGAGAAAATGCATTCCGCTTGTGACTGTAGATCTGAGTGAATAAGTCTTTGGCGCCCCTTCCCGCGAAACCGAAGATACTGGACAGAGCCCTCTTCTGTACTACCGAAAAATTATCATCAGGGCGAGAGGCCAGTCTTAAACAAGGTCACCATAATATAGACCTGCCTATCACATGCCAATGGATAAATTAGACAGATTCTCCGTACGTAAAGGACAAATACACCAAAATTAGCCTTAAAAACTTTAAAGCAAACTTTATTCTGACTTCAGTAGTCCAAAATGTTGACTTGACGAAGTTGTTCATCCCTCTTACTAAGAGGAATGTGGACGTTGAAACCTCTTCAAACATTATAATTGAAAATTGAGGAATAATCCCCACCATCGTAACCCTGATCCCCTCTCAGTCCTTATATATGCTACTGGAAGTACAGAAACTAACGTTTCTTAGCGCCTAGTTACGTTCATCAACACAAGTATGAATGCATGCTACTGTGTGCATGTGTTTGTATGTGAGTGGCATAGCTTCTTGATCCGTGAAGGTACGAGAAATCCTGCAAATTTTTCAGTACCGTACTCATGAGCTACTTCCGAGCGCCGTATTCTTTCTCTATTTGGCACGATATAATCTTGTGCCAAGTGAGGTTTCGAAACTACCAGTGCGTCAATTATATGAAATGAATCTTGAAACCATACTCATAAAAAAAACAAGAAATGTAGTCGATTGTTATAGAAAATATAATTTTGTCTCATCGACAATCCCCCTAATGAATGTTATATGGGATAGCGCATGGCCTTCCTTGAAATTCACATCTTCCCTGTGGCCCAAGGGCATTCGTGGCAATGTGGCGTGGTGGTTAACGTGTCGAGCTTACACGCTGCGTTGTCATAGTTCGAGTCCCGCTTGAGATGTTGATGTGACCTAGGCAGGAAACTATAGTCCACCCTGGATGTGAACAACTTTTGTGAAAGCAAAGCTATGTGAAATTCAATTGCAACGTCAGCTCTACTCATAGCATTGTGGGGAAATTTTACTACCAGTCCTTCATCATATTGAACGAAATGGTATAAATACATCTCATAAATCTAAGTCATAAGATTTATTTATGGAAAATTTCCCAAAATCTGAGATTTGCTTAAATGGGCAACAGAGAAATTGTAATGTTCCCGAAACCCTTCTTATATACGAAAAATAGGCCAATAGATTTTATGTACTAGTTTGCATGAATATGGTTAAACTAATGATACTCTGCTCGGACGAGTCCGTCATACGACTCTCAAAAGTAAAACACATCTTTAACTGAACCGAATAGGGTTGCTTCAGGGATTGCGCCAGCAAGAACTTTTAGTAAAGCCAACCACCAGCTGCCCAAGAGGAGTTCATCGTCGTCTTCTAGTGAAATCGACCTTTGAGCCCCTTTATTACGCACCTTGACTCGAGATGGAGATGTTCTTAACTATTGAAGTTAACCAATTTAATATCCATAGCCAGTGTGACCACTAGCTATTTGTGATTTTTTAATAAGAAGAACTTACTATATTTTAATTCTAACCAACTTTTCTCCAAGAGAGTTTGTCCTATCTATTGAACTTCTACTTTTTATCAACATCACTTCATTCAGAATATTCAACCAGCGACAACATTTCGCAGCGTATGGCCTGGTCGTATGTTATCAGCAATACCGAACTTATGACACACAAGGAGGCACTTCTGAAAACGGAAGCTGGTCAGAAACTGTCACCGGATGAAAAAAATAAAATCTACCTTGGTATACGGCAGCTAAACATGCAGGAGATGTTCGCCTATTCACCCACCTCACCACCACCTCAACCGTATCCATATCGAGACCAGATTAATTCATCAGCACTGTTCAGGTTATTTTTGATGCAATGTCTATCGCGCTCAATGAATGCAACAGAATGGAGTACCACCGGATGCACTGCAAGTCGTGTGATTTTAGCCCAAAAGCATATTATTCTTGCCTCTCTCTTTATGGTTCACAATTGTTGAGAATACTTTAATATGCAAAAAGGGTTGTTTCATTGAGACTGAACTACAAATTCTACCTAGTCTTAACCTCATCATAGGTTTTGGTGAGATTAAAACCAACTATAAGCAAAGTAGGAGAATAAGATTTTACTCTCTTTTAAACAATAATAGTTCTGGTGACTATTAATGCAAAAATACGTTTAAGGGGTGAACCAAGCGGGTGTTATGACTCGAGCCAGTTTAGAGCAAGACGCATGTTTCTAAAATGGGAAAGTCAACTTTATTGAGACAATCAAATTATGCAGTTGATCAATGACATTTTAGACTATCATTAAAGAGGGTTTCTGATATGTATATCGTCTCATTCTGAAATCCCATAAAATAAAATACCTTACCTTTCCATCATCTCCATCCGGCATGATCAGTTTACTTTTGTTTTTACCCTTTGCCAGTGGCATCAGCAACAATAAATTGAATGAAAGGCTTAATTTGTGCGTAAAGATTTCACTTGGCAATATATCTAAAAAGGTTGAGGCTGAGTTACAGGTTCGATCTCGTTTTGGTCTCATCAATGGCTCTGGTGAGATGCAAACCCCTGATAAGCAAATTAAGAGGGGACAACATCAGTCCTGCTGACATTTATTACAAAAATCACAGTCACCTATCAATACAAAATCCTCCACTAATCATGTGACTTGAATGACCCTTTTTGCTATGAAACTTATGCTTGTTCTGCACCTAAACGGGGCTTGGATTGCGTAGCTCTGATAATGACGTTTTGCTTCTAACCCATCCACACATGGTTCAAATGCCCGTGATACTGAGGAGGAAATGCACTCCAGCCAAGATGGTTACATGGCGAAGCATGACACAGAATAATTCAGAACAAAATCTGAGACTTATCTCCACCTAAGCTTCATTTCATCATTCGAATCTGATGGAAGTCGAACAAAATGGCTAATTCTGGGAATAGTAACTTAGTATATTGAAGGAGAAGTTGGATGTCGGAGAATCATTTAGCTTATACTTATTGAGATTCTTCATTTTTAAGTATGGTTTCGAGACTACCAGTAGATAATATATATGAAGTTTATTCATCCTATTTTTTTTAGGGTGATAATGGTACTGGTAGTTGAATATTCCCACAATGATTTGAGTAGACATGATGTTTCCATCGAATTTCACATGTCCTTGTTATCATAAATATTACCCTCATCTATGGTGGCTTGCAGTTTCGACTTCGCATAGGTCTTATCACATCTCCCAGTGGGACTCGAACCATAGCAGTACATCGTATAATTTCAACAGGCTAACCACTACGCCACATTTTCACGGGTGTCATTGGGTCACCCTACATATATGAATATAAGTGAAGGCTAAGCAGTTTCCCATATCATATCCTGTTGTGGGGATATCGACGTGGCAATGTTGTATTTGCTATAACAATTGGCTAGATTACTTTTTTCGCTTATAAGTAGGCTTTCAAAACTACCAGTAGATCACATACATGTAGTTTATTCATCCTATTTCACTGCAAGCGTCATGTCTTCACATATCATTGTGGGAAAAGTTATCTAAAGTCCTTTTATCACCCTAAATGAAATAGGATGAATACAAATCATATATAAGATTTATATTATTCCAAATGTGTCTATTATCCTTGAGAAGACGGTTACAGCTCTATCTGACATTCGAATTGTAATGCAGAATTCGAATTATTCAACGTTTCGCCCTATTTTAGCCCGATGCTTATCTTTAAATTATCACTAGAAGATTATGAGCACCCATATTGTTTATGTTTACGTGTTTGGATGCTGAGACACAAATTTGCTTCACTCTCTTGTTTGCAAACGATGTATGTTAAAGCTCATCAAAAGAGTAAATTATGATAAATTTCCTTTTTCATTTCTTCACCTTCTATTAACTTCACTTGCACTATAGAGATTCTTGTTTAGGCCTTCGATATATCGGGAGATACTGTTAATTTATATTCTCTACTTATTCCAAATTAAAGCGTATCTCCGATGTCAATTTGATTGTATATGTACTGCCCACAAATAATTAGCATAGAAAGACGGATGCAGGATTACTGTCGTAGGGATGTACAAGTCTCAAATCGTTTTAAAAGATGTGTCACCCTAATTCATATTTCGTGATGAAGGACTGGTAGCTGAATCTTCCCAAAACGATATGAGTAAACTTTACTATTCCATAGAACTTCGTATAGGTTTAATTGTCCTAGTTGGAATGCATCTTCGAGTTTGCTTAGGTCCTATAAATATCTCTAGCGTGACTCGAACTAATCACTATGCCATATTGCCACGAGTAAGCCTGGGTCACAGGGCAAATTATAATTTCCCGGAAAGGCATTCATATTCCCATATAAAATTCAGTTGTGGGATTGTCGATGAGGCAAAGTTGTATTTGCCGCAGCAATCGATTACGTTACTTCTTTTTCTTTAAGTAGTCTCATGGCTATGGCATTAATTCAACTACGATTATCAGGTATCAGAGTTTTCGTTTAGAAGTAGGTTGATGAAAACTCTAGTAGACCATTTAAATGCGGTGTCTCAAGCCTAGCAACTACAACTTTGCTTCCTTGATAATCCCATTACAGATTGTTAAATAGACAAACGCCTGTCTTCCTTGAAATTCGCATCTGCTATGTGACCCAAGGACACACCTTGCAATGCGGCTTAGTGATCAACACGTAGAGATCATACGTTGCACTGTCATGGTTCGAGTTCCGCTGGAGGTGCTGATGAGACCTAGGCGAGGTTGAAACTGCAATCCAGCCTGGATGAAAATACCTTTTTGGAAAGCAAGGCTATGTGAAATTCAATGGATACGTCATATATGCTCATATCGTTGTAGGAAAATTTAATTTTACATAACCTTGCTTCCAAAAAGGTATTCTTATCCAAACAGAAATAAACTGCAGTTTTGACCTCGCCTAGGCCTAGTCAACACTCCCAGCGGGACTCGAACTCTGTCAGTGCAGCCCATAATCTCGACACGTTAAGCAAATGGTTCTGTTATTGGGTTGATAGTCATTCAGCACACCCTGATTCGAAGAGAAGACTTTTTGTAGCGTCGAATCTTTCTGATCCATACATCCAGACAGATGGACCTTATCCAATCTGTACTGCAGTCTCATCACAATTCATGTGGGAGACGAGCCAAGGAGGTTCGAGTTAAGGGGCAAGCATATATTTTCCTCAGCCCCCTAACCCTATCTGCATTATGCTTTTCAAACAAGAATCGACTGCTCTCATCTAACACGAGTTTATGAGTAATTTTTCACACGCTGGCTATTAAACTCGATGGACAACCGATTTTTTCGTAAAACAAAGTCGTGTTTCGCATTTATTATTAGTTTGACTGTTAAAGTGAAGCCATAGTGACTCTCTTAACGAAGCATTTAATCAGGCTCCTGAATCTGCGAACTAAATTAGGTAGGGTAGGGAGACTAATGACAAGTAATTTTTAACACATGCACATCTTAGAATAAAAATCGTAATTCGAGAGAAAATTAATTAGGATGTATGGAAAATAGCTTTTTGGATGAAAGTGAAATTAGATGCAAAGATCAAGCATTACTCTCACTTCCTCATGAACAGTGTCGGTCTGTACGCAATACGAAGTTCGATCGAATACTAACAGTTCCCTGAAAGTAGCCGTTAAAATTTATTTTCAATTACTTTATAGTCATTCTATCACTTGAATCTTGTTCCCGTTCTCACAATTTATTTTGGTTTCTAGATTGGGCCTAATACTACTATCCTGCGCACTCAATGCCTCTGCACCCATCTGACAACTTTCGCCACTAGCTTTGTCTCTCCACCCAATATTATCAACTTCGACTATGTATTTGCTAACATCGAGTTTTCGAAAAACCCTACATTATACATAACCGAGATTGTGGTTGCATTAATATTCATCCTAATTTTTATATGGGCTCGCCGTGCTGACATTCGGGATATTGAAAAGGTGAGCTCCAGTTGGAAGCATTTTCTTTATTTTACTATTTTTTAGGGGAGACGATAAAGAAAATGCTATTTCCTTAGACAAATGGGGATTTTGCCACTTGAAGGGAATAGCTAAATAGACAGACTTGAACTTATATTTTCTAAAATATTTGTAACGGATTTAGTCAATAGTCTATTTGTGTATTACATCACTTTAATTCATCTTTGAGCTTATGGATTGGACATTTGTTTCACTTAATCTGGCCATTTTGAATAGCAGCAGAAAGAATTTTAGTTGTTTCGAAGAGGAGATTCATTTTTATAAGCAAGCAGGTATTCTCCACCCTCAGATCATCTGACTACTGCTCCTGATTATTTCTTATTCCCATATGAGCTAATCTTAAATGGGATACTCGACGCTATGCCCTAAAATTCACTCCTCTGATGGCATTGTTCTTTGATTCCTAAATTTAATCCTTGTCTTGGTTGACGACGAGGCCCAAACGAGATAGAATGGGAATTAGTTTCTGTCATTATGAAATAAATTACAATGGACTTTAAAGGTCAAATAAAGCCTTTGCTCCTATTTAATAAAGGGTATTTAGCCTAGCATTAACATCAGTGACACTATGAGGACGATGAATATCTTGAAAA